CTCCATAGATTACGTTGGCTGGGACATGTGTTACGCATGTCATCAGATGTTACCATGGCGAGCGATGTTCGCCGAAGCAGACACCGAGTGGGAAAACGCCAAGGGTGGTCAAGCTAAGACCTGGCGCGACGGTATGAAAACCCTAACCAGCAGACTGGGTCACATAGGTCCTGTTAGGCTCCCGTGGCTGGGGACCTCGGGGTCGTAACCGATGGTTAGAGACACTGAGCGATATGGCTGGGTGTCGCAAACAGTGGCGTTCTTGGGAAACTGGGTCACATAGGTCCTGTTAGGCTCCCTGGCTGGGGACCTCGGGATGATCGTGATCCAGGAAACTGGGTCACATGGGTCTTGTTAGGCTCCCTGGCTGGGGACCTCGGGATGATCGTAACCGCATGAGAGACACTGAGTGATATGGCTGGGTGTCGTAAACAGTGGCGTTCGTGCATCTTCTCAATCTCTTTGCAACCTCAGACCACTGAACTTCTTCATTTTCTGTTCGACTCCACTTTGAACTTTCCATTGTTCTCCTATTCTTCATCCAAATCGGCAGCCAAAAGACAGCAACCAGAACCGGCGCACGAATATCCGTGGTTAATGGTTGTACAAAGTGAACTGAACTGAAATCTCGTCCGTGAACAAAGCATCGGTTCAATTAAGTTCTGCTTTCAGAAAAACACATACACCTTTTGCTGCGCGTGTTTATATCAACATAAGATGCTAGGGAAAAATACATTCTTGATTCAAAGCCCCCACGAAACTGAAAAGGAACAGACCAGGGAACACACCGGACAAAATATTTTGATTCATACAATTACTGCGTTCAGCGTGCGGGATATCATTGAGAACGCAAACCAATAAACTGAACTAGCGAATCAGAACGATTGCATTCTATTCCAGTAACGCGTGAGGGTTTCCACTGGGTCAACTACAGAACAATTTGGTACATACAAGGCTTTTCTAAGCTAATCATTCGTTATTAGTCGAAATTATCTGGGTATAATACTTAAAAAAAAAATTAGGCGAACCAAACCAAATTTAAAGGGGAAAAGATTACTATCAGCTATTGTATCCTAATAAATGAACTATAAACGTGACCGCGGAGACACGATCTGCTAACAAAATCTGACCAGTTTTTCAAAGCGATAAATCAAAATTTTCCGGAGAATAGTTTTGTCAAATTACCTCTGAATTTAGCTGAACTATATCGAGCGCTTCATCTTCTACAAACAAAGATTTTTTCGGAGACACAACGAAGAGGTGTCTGTCTGGACAACTCGTGTTGCTTAGACCGCCCACAAACAGACACACACACAGCGGTTAACGGATAAATGTTATGCATTTCCGTGGAATCCAATTGGGACAAATTAAAATCTTGATTACTTTCTTCGCGAAGTAAATGGGCTAACCACCGGCACAGTGTTGCAGGCACTCACATCTGATGGCAACAAATGTACACTTGAATATGAGGGGTAAATGTAGATCCCGAATTATGGACCTTGTTCGGTTCGATGGCGATGGGAAATGTGAACTAAGTCGTCGGTGTGATGAAACGCAGCATCTCATGCTTGGGGACACGACCGGAGGAGTGGGGGGTGGGGCGCTAGCTGAGTTGTTGTGTTGAGCCAGTGACTCGCCGGGATCACGCGTTCAACTGAATTCCTTCTGTTGATGATGATGTTGTCGTTCGACAGATCAACACTACTGACGATGAAAGACGAAGGTTTAGGTGTCGCAGACAACACGTTTTACGACACCCAGAAAAAAACGTTCAATCAGTCACCATGTCGGGGTTTTCTATTACCAGTCAGAGAAACAACCAAGAACATGGACAAATCCCGGAGAAGTTAATCGACTCACGGAGTCCAGTTGGGGAGAAGCTTGCGTGCCTCTTCGTGGGATTTCCCGATCGACTTCGGAACGAAGTTAAAATTGTTCAGAATAGTACAAAAACTCGATGTCATAATAATTAATGATTGAATAGAGAATAATTTTTCGGAAACCCATGACTACGTTGATGATTTTTACTGCTCTTCGCGAAATACTCCTTTATCAAGCAGTGGAAGACGCACGTATCACGTGACAGTTTATAAAAAGAATTGTATGTATCACTGTTTCTTAATCCACCGCACGAAACAATGGGACCAGAAAATCATGAGCTTGTAAGTTATTCCCATAATAAATCTTTGACATAAATGTACTTATCTTATTCGTAGTTTAATTTTGCGACTGTAGTGTCCAGTTTTCTTGAGTTAGACCAACCCACACAAGAAAACCACCAGAAAATCGCCGTTACGATTTTTCAAAATTACCTTATCTCGAAATCGGTAGAGTTCTATTTGTTTTAAACACAACTAACTATTTTCATATTCATCGGATTGATGCTATTCGTCGCAGACCCGTTAACACCAAAAACT